CAATCACTTTTAAAACACAGCCAGTGGTTTGTTCATAAAAGGCATGGAGAAGGGTCACCTTCATCCTTCCCAATGTTCTCCAGGCAGGGCCATTCACACGGTACTATGCCAGCTGCTCACAGGTAAGAAGACATCATAGTTTTTCATGTGGTCAGTGATCCCCTGACTCTCTAGGAGCAGGACCACCCATTCCCCACTATCCTTGGAGAAAGGTTTGGCCTGATGGAGTTTTCTTGCCCTCTCCAGAGCCTTACTCTGACTTCTGGATCAAGAGTAGGAGAGAAGATGGGCGGTGGTGTCTCATGCCTTTAATCCCAGCACTCGGGAGACAGAGGCAGGTGGATCTCTGTGAGTTCCAGGCCAGCCTGGCCTACTGAGAGAGTTTCAGGACAGCCTCCAAAGCTACAGAGAAACCCTGTCTCAAAAAAAAAAATAAAAAATAAAAAAGAATGGGAGAGAGTGGAAGGATCATTAGGCCTTTGTGTTAGTTCAGACATACTTCAGCTCATCCAAGAATAATGGCTAACAGGCATGGTGGCCCCTGGGTTTCAGTCGTAACTCTGCACTGTGTGCCAGTGGCTTTCTCATCAGTATGATAAGAAGGTTGGAGCTGGGTGGTGGTGGTGCACACCTTTGATCCCAGCTCTCAGGAGGCAGAGGCAAGCGGACCTTTGTGAGTTCAAGACCAGCCTGTTCTACAGGGCGAGTTCCAGATGACTGGCATTATATGTTGGGAGGTCCAAGAAGCCACTGTGTAAAGCACTGGAAAGAATGCCAACACACACTAAGTACTCAACATATGTAACTGTGGCCAGGCGTAGTGGTAAGCACCTTTAATTCCAGCACTTGGGAGGCAGAGGCAGGGGGGGATCTGTGATTTTGAGGCCAGCCTGGTCTACAGAGTTCAAGGCCAGCCAGAACTGCACGATGTGATTCTAATTTCAAATGACTAAATAAATGAATGTCAGAAGATGCCAGCTCACATCTATCGTATTTCTTACTCTAAGTGTGGGGGACACACGAAAAGATGAAAGAAACCACCTTATAGTTAAATCAATAGGGAAGGGCATTTATGAGTGACACTGTCTCTCAGCTTGAGAGCTGAGGACACAGGAATGATGCTGGGACACTTAAGGAAGCTTCTGTCTGACTACAGCCAGTTTGTGACAAGTGAGCACACTGAATGTTACTGTCAGGTCCCAAAGAAACCCAGGACAGAAGGTACTAGTGCACACCTAGTACCATACCAAAGCGCACACCGGCCGGCTACCAGGCTCACTCAGTAACTGTGGCTCCTCTGTTCTTCTCACCTGCCTCCTATCCTACCCCTTCCCAGCCCTTGGGCTCCACCCCCGCTTCTGTTTCCTATATGACCCTTTCGTTACAAGTTACATGCTCTCTTTGATCTCCCTCTCCTCTTTCTCTGGCTCTCCACCCCTCTCTTTCCTCTCATGAATTGCTTTAGTCTACTGGCCATATTTAGTCTACTACTTTTTCTCCTTGATCTGGACTCTCTTCAGTTGCCTTTGCCAGTACATTCCCTCGTATCTACAAAACCCTTCTCAACCATAACTTGGAGTGGGCATTTCCTCGATTTCACTCAATTACATCTTTGGGTTTTCCAGAGAAGCAGGAAGATGAGAATCTATCACTGTTTCCCAAACTGGTCTCAAACTTCTAGACTCATGGTCCTCCTGCCTCAGCTTCCCGATTAGGCTGAGACTACAGGTGCAGACTCTACACCTGGCTTTTATGTACCGATTGTTAAATGTAGCAATTAACCCAGATAAAACAGAAAGTAAACAAACAAAACCTCCTTTGGACTAATTAACTTCATCTCTGCACCTCCAGCCAGCAGCTCCCCTGCAGTTTCTCCCGCCCCAGGGCTGGGCCCAGTTTTTGCAGTCTGTTCAACAAATTGAGCTCTTGCTACAATTGTTGTGGGCCCTGGGGACACATCAGTGAACACCAAAGCAAAGCTCTGCCCAAGCAAAGCTGACTTTAGCATGTGTGTAGAGGACTGGTAAAAAGAGACAGCAGATTTAAGTTCCCTGTCACAGGGTATGAGGAACAGAGGAGGTAGGTGACCAAGGTGAGCAAAGGTCTGATTGTGGGAGGAGCTAAGGGGACTACTAGAACCAGAGACAAGCTAGAGAAGGGTTTGGAGGGAATGTGGGTTAAGGAAGCTGGTGCTGGGAAGCCTGAAGCCAGCCACACACTAAACCCTAAATAACAAGAGGTCTGCATCCCTTTGCAATTTCTGACACTTGGGTCGTTAGATCCTCAGCCCTCCCACTACCACCTTGTCTGATTCCACACTCTTATGATTCTTTGTACATGGTGCATGTGTGTGTACACATATGTGCACTCGAGCACGCACGCGCGCGCGCACACACACACACACACACACACACACACACAGAGTTATGAGTCTGTGATCTTTCTGGGTTAGTTTTTGTTTTTCAAGACATGGCTTCTCTGTGTAACTCCCTAGCTGTCCTGGAATTTTGCTTTGTAGATGAGGCTGGCCTTGAACTCACAGAGATCCACCTGTCTCTGTCTCCCAAGTGCTGGGAATAAAGGAAAGCACCATCAAGCCCGGCTGTTTGTTTTTAAACAAATAAGAGGTTTTATTAAAAATTGCTGGCTAAGACCACACCAGAAACCCAGAATTCTCTGCCTATAGTCCAGATCTGATGTTAGTGCAGAGTATATAAAGGAAAAAAACAAAACAACAACAAAAAACCCAAAACACAAAAAGTTGCAGCGTTTTTGTTTTTTGTTTTGGAGGGGGAGGGTTGTAGTTAGGTAAACTCACATCCTGCTTTTGTGTAAGCAGTGCCTAATTTTACAACAGACATCCCACAGGTGCCTCAATTATCTCCAGCAAGCAAGTAGTTTTTTTTTTTTTAAAGAAAGCAAAACTAGTGGTTAGTTGCCAGGACCCATTGTCTTGCAAGAACAATAGAGGCAGTTTCTTAATATTAGCTAACTATTCTGGGAAGTCATCTGTCTTGGGCCAGATTGCTGATAGGGTACATTTCCCAAACAAGCAATTTTCTCATGTATTCTTTAAATACAACTGTCTTTACATGTTGAACATCTTATTCACTATCACAAGTCAGTATTTATCCACGTTTTAACACAGGGCTCTTACTGTCTAAACTAGGTTGGCCTTAAATTTACAGTGATCCTCCTGCCTCAGCCTCCAGAGTGCTAGCGTCACAGCTCTGCACTCCCATACAGGGCTTAGTTCTGGTTTGAGACCAGTCCTATTGTACAGCCCAGGCTGACCTTGAACTTCCAGCTCTTGATTCTCTGCCTCAGCCTGCTAATGCCTTTAGGTTACAGGCATGTATCACCAAGCCTGAATACTATTCAACTTTTTGAGGGTAGAAAATTCAACTCTGGCCTCACACCTGGGTTCACTTAAAAGTGTGGCCTTACATATTTTACCTTATGTCTCACGTCTTGCTGGCCTTGTCTGTAAAACAGAGATAATTCAGAGTTGGGATTGTGGTGAGGAGAAAATGAGACACAAGCTGGAAAAATTTGGGAGCCCAGTTACCTGGGTCCTGGGAGGTCATTGTGTTGTTTGTTTTGAAACAGGGGCTCATTATGTAGCCCTGGATGGCCTGGAACTATGTGGACC